CCCCCCAATACCTTATGCTTTGACCTGCCATGTGCAGATATACACGAAGACTATGTTCACATCATGAAGCAGAAGTCCCCCGACTTCCGGAAGCTCTAGAAGTTGGAGAACTTCAACCAATATTAGTTTTGGATTGGGCAGAGATGGGTTAGTACTCGTGGCAGGGTTTCATTGCCAACCATGTCCCCCTTTGAGGGAATTCACCATCACAAGCTGTCTTGGTGACCACTGTTACTGGGACAGAAAATGAGGGGCAGCCACACTTTTATTGTCGCCATTGGAAAAGGCATAGAAGACTTCTGTTGGGCACAGCTGTTCTGGTGACAACTGTTGAAGAGGAGGTCAAGTAACTTTCTTCTCTTTTTGGACAGGAAGCTAGCAGACTCTCCAATGAGAATGTCCAAGGTGATTCCTACCGCATTCCTTTCCGGAAATCCCAAAGGTGGATGCTGAAGTGACTGCGGGCGGCTCCGCTGGGATCCATAAGGAAGCAGGATGTCACCAGTCCACCAAACAAAATGGTCAAGGGATCGTTCTTTATTGATGCATATTGTCACATGGAAGACTGGTTGCTTCCAAGTGCATGTGGTTGCTTCCATGTGACAATATGCATCAATAAAGAACGATCCCTTGACCATTTTGTTGGGTGGGCTGGTGACATCCTGCTTCCTTATTCTCCCCAGTGAGGACACAGACACCAATAATAACCCATCAGAGGTTCTCAGCCTTCAATCCAAAATGAATACAAGTTTTGGTTGGAATTCATCTCCTGGTGGATGCCTCCTACTAGGTTAAGCCGAAGCTTCCTTGCAGACTATGTGTGAGACCTGACAGGGTGGAATTAGAGGAGCACATCTACTGTACAGTACCTGCAGACAACGGCTATCCAATGTCTGGAGACCCAAAAAACTGACACTTGGGGCCACACCATAGAGCCTGACCCTGCCACAAATTGACCTTCAGAAAAAATCTGTACCATCTTCTCCAATGGCCAACCATGGCAACTTTGTATGACAAATGTAAGTCACAGTCACATGCCCATCTGATACTTAGAAACCATATAATTGCAGTCAAGTACAAGAGTCTTAAAGAGCACCACAGGACCCCCGGAACCTGGGCATTATTATGGGAACAGCGACTATTTCCATGGTCAGTCCATGTTGGTGAGGCTGCTTGTCATTGCCAAGAGGAAGGATTAGAACCCCAGACTCAAACTAATGTCACCATTTGCATAACAGAGCAACCACAAAGCCTTGAAAACTGGAGCGGCCACCTCTGCAGATCTTTTCTACTCTCTACAAGACACAGGTACACTATGAAGAAGACCTCTAGGCTTACACCAGGACAAGGTTATAGGGTGCAGTCATGTTCTGTACTCCGATCTCCAGATAGATATAATCAGCCAAAAAGGTCCTGCAGCCAATATTGTTCCGCTGCGAGTACAACTTTTGGGGGAAAGCTGCAGAGTGAAGACGCTCACCAGGACCTACACCTTGGAGCAGAGTGGATGCATATGTAGACCAGAGATAAAATGCACATCCTTGTCTCCACCTCGCCCCAAGTCAGAGATCATTAGAGACAAGGACATTCGTTTTATCCACAGAAAAGCAACAGAAACCAAAGAGCTGAATATATAAACATTCCACTCAGGGTATAGCTGGGTGGATTCCACTCAAGGCATTCCTGCCACTAGATAGAGCCAAGGAGCTCCATCAACTTTGCAAATTATGCATTACAACAATCAGATGCTGCATGTTCCTTTGACAACAACGGCCGTATCGTACAGGCCATTCTGTCCCTGGTGAAACACCAACATCACCACTTGGAAGATCTTCCACTTACCTCTATGGAATTGCTTCCTCGCTGGTCCAGAATGGTGCCAAATCTAGTGCAAGGAATCCATATCTCACCGGCATGGTTAGCAAGGGAGCAACTTCATAGAAAGAGAGAGGCAGTCCATTAACTGTTACTGGCGAGTGGTCACTACCCCCAGGATGGCTCATGACCTGGACCTCAGACTTCAATTTTTTGAGTTAAAGTTTCATTTTTGCTAAATTATCCAAATAAATTCCCACCGATTCTGAAGACAAGTTGGTGGAGAGCCACTCACCACTTTCCTCTGCGGTCTTCTTCTTTTACCCATACTGCTTATCTGATACAAAAAGCCATGTGGCCCGCATGTGGCTTTTTATACACCAGCAGCCCTATAATGCAGCCTGTGATTGGCTGAATATAGAAGCCACGCCCCCTATCCTGCAGACTGGAAAACCAGGAACGAACCACAGAGCTGTGCTGGATCGGAGGAGATGTTCTCGTACATTTTCGAGATCAGCGCCACCAAACTTCTTTTACTCTACTGTAGATGTTTTCTCCATATACTGCAAAGTTATGGGCTGCACAGTCCCAACACATAGACAAGGCAATTTGCCTTGATTCCCCTTTAGTCAGTGCACACCATTGGCAGCTTCACAGCTCATCAGTGGCTGCTGGTGTAAATGGGCCCTTAGGCAGGATGCACCCCGTGCACATGAGTTCATGCGAGTGTTGATGTGTGTCAATGTGTGAACCACAATGCCCTGTATATGTGCCCTGGTTAGGGTTGCCACCTGTCCCGGGTTCACCTGGACAGTCCGGGTTTTGAGTCCTGTACGTGTTGTGTCTGGACTTCAACGTGGGGAAAACGTCAAGACCATACAGATACCTAAGCACTGCAGCTGAGTATGCCGTACTTATGGCATCCATAAGTGTGCATGCTAGGGTTGCCACCTGTCCCGGATTCACCTGGACAGTCCGGGTTTTGAGTCCTGCATGTGGTGTGTCAGGGTTTCAGCTGGCTTGGTATTCTTTCTGAATGTCACCCCAAGGCACATACGCCGCATAAAAAACACTACGCCTGCACTACATGGGAATGCCAAGCATTTTTGCATTGTAGTATACTGCGTTGGGCAAAAATAACACAAGTGCGTTTTTTTGTGTGCGCTGAGCCTCATTCAGGGTCTGTTCAATATGAATGGGCCGCCTTAACCCAACATTTGTCAATGTACAAAGATGCATTTTAACACCTCTGCAAAAAACGCACATAAGGGCACATGAATCCTGATTCTCCATCAAAAAACATGATTTGCATTCTGCGATGGTGCTTCTCTGCCGATGCAACCCAAGGAAACAATATCAGTCAATAGAAGGAATCGACACACTATAATTTCTCTCCATCAAAGATACAGAAGATGCCGAATTACGCACTAGTGTAGTCACCTGTCCCGGATTCACCTGGACAGTCCGTGTTTTGAGTCCTGCATGTGCTGTTTCCAGGTTCCAGGCCAGCTGAAACCCAGACACAGCACATAAGGGACTCGAAACCTGGACTGTTCAGGTGAATCCGGGACGGGTGGCAACCCTAGAATGCATGCTTACGGACGCCCTAAGTACGGCATCCTCAGCCGTAGTCCTTCGGTATCTGTATGGCGGTGTCGAGTCTTGACGCTTTCCCCATGTTGGAAGCTCGGGGGGCAATTACACATACACATTGGGCCAGGAACAAGGATAGCCAGAAATCCCGGCTGGCTGGCACAACTGAGGATTGGATTGGATCGCTGGTGTCACAGCTTGCATTTGCTTTGTTGGCTCCACTGGGATGTACAAGTAGGGCCCATTCACATCTTAACACATGTTTTTGTGCATTGAGGTGAATTGCGATAGGCAGCCCATTTCACATGAATCGGATGATAAGTCCTGCCTGATATTTCATCATTTAATAACACATTTAATCATTTTTATTAAATACTTCCTCTGGGTTATTACTCTTCTTGGAGACTTCCACTGGCAAGAGTTCCTTTTCCAGCAGATTATGGTGGAGTCCTCAGGGATGGATTTCCCACAAGGCCAACCAAGGCCCGTCCTCGGGGCAGCAGGGAGTAGAGGGGCAGCAGGGGTGCGGGATTCCTATCTCCTGATGCCCGGGACATGCAGTTCCGGGCGCTGGGTGGGTAGTTGTTTTCTACATTTAGCCCTGCTTTGGGCAAGCAGAACTAAATGTACAGCGGGGAAGCCGCCACTTGTTTTGTACAAGTGATCTTGGGGATTTTGCCGAGATCACTTGTATGCAGCCTGCAGGTCTGCCATTCTCCATTGGGGGGGTGGG